GTCGCTAATGGGACCATGCTCCTGCTTCGTCAACCCTGGGGCCGAAAAGAGAGCGCCTTTGTGCAGCGTCACCCGGCAAATCCATCAGCTGCTGGCCAGCCGGAGATCTTCTCGCCATCACACTGGCAGACTGTGTGCCCCTTACTGTTCGTTCCCTAGAGCAATCGTTGCCGTCTTTGCTCCTCCTGTTGTTCTGGCAAACACCTTAAGGACGCACATAGCTCGCACTTATCCGTATCGTTAGTGCGACCATTTGCCACTCCCGTCCACCACCGCATGCTCCTGCTGCTGTTCCTTGGCCTCCTCGCCTTACAGTGGCCGATAATGCCGCCGGTTCACAGTTGACGGGCCATCTAAATGGCCATGTGACCATGTTCCAACAGCGTCCCGTGCGCTGGAACCGTGGAAGTAGTAAGAGTGGGAGGGAAGACTCTTGATCTTTCGCCGCCGTGAGCCGAAGATATGGCGCACTTCAGCATTAAGGATCTCCCGGGTGGCAGCAGTTTTACCACAGGAGTGCTAAGATCTCCCTGCGGATCCGCCTCAGCAGATGTACCACGTATCTCCGTCGCAGCATCGATGGGCTGGCGGGAAACATCCCCGTTTCTAGCGGCATGGAGATCATTGGACGGTATAGCGCGCGCACGCACACGCACACACACACACACACACACACACACACACACACAGAGAGAGAGAGAGAGAGAGAGAGAGAGAGAGAGAGAGAGAGAGAGAGAGANACAGAGAGAGAGAGAGAGAGAGAGAGAGAGAGAGAGAGAGAGAGAGAGAGAGAGAGAGCAGAATGCGAAGAAATTGCCACCGCCAGTGCAGGTAGTGGCGGAGGCGCACGATTTCCCTCCGCTTCCAACATCTCCGCTGCCGCAGGGAATTACAGCGCGCGATCAGGCTGCTGCGCGCGGCAACGATCCGCCGCGTTCCGGCCGCTGATGAGTTGTCCTCGTCAATTCCACCCCAACGTACGGTACCTGCAGCTATCTTCGTCCCTCTCTCGTGTCAGGCTGCCAATAATAGGTGATGTGAGGTAAAACCACTATCGTCCTTCGCTGCTACACGAGCCCACACTGCCCCACAGCACGTCACAGAAGCTCGTTTTCCGCTAGAGTTCAACATAACAGCTGCTAAACATCCAGCAAGAAAGGAACAAGTGGTGCCGACGCTTCCTATGAGAGGGCAGAGGCCGACCAAGCCAAATCCTCGCTCCGTCGTGTTATTAGACGGCTGTTCGATTGCTCTATTAGAGCAATCTTTACTGCCGACTCGACCTTGTGCACGCGTAGCAAATGCTTCTCACGAGCAGATTCACAATGTTCGCTCAAAACAAAATCGAGTTCAATCATATGGCAAGACGGATTGAGCAGACTTCCGTCGGCCACTCGGCGGCGCTAGACCTCGGGGAGTAATAAATGTCGAGAGGCGTGCATACTGGTCGATCTCAGGCAGCAGCAAATATAAATGACAGATGCTTCTGGATCGTCATCATCGGCACGCACCTTGACGAAGACAGAATCTGATCCCGAGCAAGTAGCGAGTTCGAACCCATAACTGTGCCGAAGGCATACTGGTCGATCCCAGGCAGCAGCAAATATAGACGACAGATGCTTCTGAATCATCATCGTCGGCACGCACCTTGACGAAGACAGATCCCGAGCAAGTAGTGAGTCAGAACTGAGTACCAGTGGAGGCCAAAGTAATAAAGTCCCGCGGTAGTTTCACAGCAAACACAGCGGCGGGGCCCAGCTTTCGTTGCCAAAATACATCTTTCATTGCAGCTTTACAGGTCCCTATAGCTTCAAAGCATCCCAAGAGCCTAGCTCAGTGGGTACACACCCATGAACTATTGAAATACAGACCAGTGTTCGAATCCAGATGACGGAACTACTTGCTGAGTAAAACCAAATATTTCTGAATTGCCTGGGGCCGGTCAGCTTAATGGTGATATCTCAAGACCGTCGCCCTTTATAAAAAGAAAAAAGAATAACTTCAAAGCAAAATTATTTGCGGGCGGGGTCCCACTTTCGTTGCAAAACCCCCTCTTTCTGACCCCCACAACATTTCCGCTGGGAAACTCCAAAAAACGCGGTATTCGGGCAACCAGTGCCAACCACCCCCCTAATTTATCGTCTAAATTAAGCCCACTGAACCCTAGTCTGCTCGTGGACAATTAAAATCGACAACGAATATTAAGACACAGCGAGCAGCTGCATTCAGTGCAGAGCATCTGGTCCTTTCTCGACCTCCGAAACACATCGGACTGTGAGTCTGACCTGCCACAACAAAGACCAGATGCTCTGCACTGAATTCCACTATCGGCAGGGCTATTGATCCAGCAGTCTCAATGACATTGTGATGATATTCCTAAGGGTTTCCCCAGTAGGTCAAGATTACCCGTCTTTCCCCCAATAGAACGGACGGTCGTTATCGCTGTATCCAGACTGAAAGTTACCCTAAATACAGGCATTATCACCATACGTTCTAATCGGGGGATGACGATCGACGCCACATACAGCACCACTCCCTGCTGTGTCCGCCTTCCTTACATCAGCTCTAAGAAAAAGCAGTGCGATCGAATTCAAGTATTTCTCCTAATTGAGCACGTCGAGCATATCAGATTCTTTACATCGTGCGTAATCCCAGAGCCAGCTCCCGTTAATTCAATCGGGGGAGATCTCTGATCTACGGATTCTACGCCCTCGAACCTCCACACACGCCGAGGTGCCCTAGAGGAAACAAGAAGGCTTGAAGAAGGCTTGAGAGAGCTGTGGTCGGATCTCATGAAGTAGAACTGTATAAGAACAACAGGCATCAGACGGGGACCTCATCCTAATCAAAGCTATCGCAGCTGAACAATGCTAGCGCCGCCAGATAGATGCCGATGTGTCCGCGCGTGTAGGCGGTTCGCATGACTACCCTCTTCCCCCGAACATAACGCACCCTGAAAAGGAACGTAGACAAGGTATGTTTCCGGCCAGATACCCTCAGAATGAGGGTGCGTTGTGTTCGGGGGAAGACGGATAGTGCAAGCGGCCAGCAAAGCCATCGACAGCGCTCCCACGACCACGGAAGGCTCTCCCACTGCCCTCTGGGCCTCTACTACTTTTCCGGAATTCAAATAATTAGTACGGAATTCAAATAATTATTAATTAGTAAGAAAGTAATCCGCACGTCCTTCGGGACATCCGTTAAAACTGGAACGATACAGAGAGAGAATTTTTTTTTTTTTTTTTTTTTGGGGTGATCACAACTGTCTATATTCTTCTCTCAACTTCTGTTTGTTTTACCTTTCACTACCTACTCCTAAGACTATCTAGAGGGGACCCCTGCAAGCATAGTTTTCCTCTCTCTGTGAAGGGGAGATTTCATGTTGCCCCTTGCCCCTAATGGTTAGGGTATAGGGTTGGGGCCGCCAGTGGGGGTCTGGCTAACACAAAGACCGAGACCTGCCAGTAGCTGTGCCTCCCTTTCTCATCGTCCCCCACCCTTCATCGAGTAGCAGCAGAGGCTATGGCCACGGCCCCGGCGCAAGGATGACACGCATAAATCGAGAAAAAAAAAAAAAAAAAAAGTCCGCACCGAGGGGACGCTTGAAGAATCTCCACGCAAATCCATCCGCGAACTCTCATCGCAATTCATAGAAACTGCCGATTGCAATCTGGAACCTGAGATCAAGCCGAGTTTTCGTCAAAGGGACATAACGAAGAAAGGAGCGTTGCCCTAGGTGAACTTTACAAAAGTGTCATTTCTGTCTCAGTGGTGCAAAGAGAAGACCGCGTCCTGCTGAAGAGCGAGGCCGAAAACTTAATCGGCTGAAATGTTTATTCAGGTAAAGGTCCCCCAGGGAATTGCCGAGCCAATCAGGAACTGCGGCAGGGGAAAAGAGAGGCTGAAAAAAAAGGCGGGGTCAGAGTTCTTTCCCGTTTAGCTACGTACCAGTCCCGGGGTTCCGAGAGGTAGCAGAGGGTTCCGAGAGGTACGATTCTACCGATCTGTGGGACCCACGGTATTCATCCTAACCGTCGATCATTTTCTTCGTCTTCTACTATTGCTACTTCTTCCTCTTCTTCAACTACTACTACTACTACTACTACTACTACTACTACTACTTTCATTGGGCGGGCTGATTCTGGATGAATCTGGCAATTTCAAGTATTCGCGGTATTTAGCTCGAGTACATCTAATACCGAATTTGTGGCGAGATTCATTCCGAAATAGCATTCGCTAATGACGCACATATCCGTAGAATCGTACCTCTCGGAGCCCTATACTACCGTCTTCACCAGAATAGAACGCCCCGTCATCATATCTGTATTCGGCACAACTTTCGATCCAGATGCGGCGATAATGACCGGGCGTTCTATTCGAGTGGGAGACGGCGGTTGCTGGAGGAAGAAAACCATCTCCCCCGATTCTCCCCTACAATGGCTTTATTCCTGCTAAGACTACCGACGACAGCAGGCAATTACAGTCAACGACCACAGAATTCTGCTATACTGCTACTGCTACTGCTACTGCTACTGCTACTGCTAACTTCTTCCTATCTTCTACTAATGTCTTTCGAGGGAGGGAGAGAGAACCATCTCCATCTCCCCAACAATCTCTTCATTCCTGCTAAGACTACTTCTAGTCTTCTAGTATGACGACAGGGCAGTGTTTTCAGCGACCTCAGTCTTCTGCGATACCGTGCGCCGCCTAAAGCAAAATTACAGAAGAAGGAATTAGATAGATAGGAAAAACAAAAGACTTGCTGAGATAAAAAAAAAAAAAAAAAAAGACTGCTGAGATTCCTTAGATATATGTCATTGACTGCCGTCCTGATGAGTCGACCTACGACCTCGTCACAAGTGAAATCTCAGGGTGTAAAGAATTTATGCCCTTAATTCCGAAAAGCTCAACAAGTTCTAAGCCTGCACTCGCCCCGCCACCTCTCCCCCACCCTTTCGCCAACCGCGGGAGCTGTCAGCGCAATTCGTCCCCCAACGCTCCCACGAAATGCGCTCCGTCCGCAATCATCACTGCAGTCTAGCCATGCAAAAGCATCCATAAGACATCAGCAGGATAATCGCATAGGGCAAGCACATCGCCGCCCACCTGCGCCACTGCCGCTTGACAGTGTGCAGGAACTCAGCTTTGCAGGAGAGACAGTCGAAGCAGCGCGCATTCGCCGAGTTCTTGAACAGACTGCAGTCCTCCTCCGTCAGCATGGTAGCGTCGCTCGCCTGGCTTGCCGTGCTCATGTTGCTCATCCGGATGAACGTGGCCGTGTCGAGCGTTCGAGCGAACCCGCACCCAGCTGGGGGCTTGCAGCAGGACGCCTCCATCGCCGTCAGCTTGAAGTCGTCGTCAAGGTCCGCCAACGTCTTGTTCTCGTACTCGGAGAAGTTGCCTGGGTGCTTCATGAACCGCTTGCAAACTCCGCGGTTGAACCACAAACACCTGCGGATCTTGCCCCAGGTAGCATTGGATCGGTATCTCTCCTGAAGCCAGTCGGACTCAGACACACCCTCCTCACTGACGCGGAAGGCGAATATCGCCAAGGATAACAGCAGAAGAATGGACAAGGCGAACACGGTCAGGTTTGCGTAGAACAGACGTCCCTGTTTACCCCTGGGACTATCGCCTCCCAGTACCACGACGAACACAGGGTTAAGGCAGAGAACGATGCCGATCAGCATCGATGGAAGAAAAAGAAAGCCATCACACTTCGCAGCACCTCCTATCGCTAAGAGCGTTCCACCGATCAGCATACACAATGATGCGGCAAATGACGCAAGAACGGACAAAATCATTACGTCATCGGCATCCATCGCCAACCCTGCTCCTCCTCCGTCGTCCCTTTCTGCTCCCGCACTGCTTTTCAGATTCCAAGGTCGATTCTCGACGACCCCGACGTCCAAAGAATTCCTTATCCCGACCAAGGCGCAACAGGCCACTGGTGCGAAACGGGGGATGGAGGGCAGGGAACCGAGATCGCGGATTGAGGAGGAGAAAACGAAACGAGAAGCAGGCGATGGAGTGTGGTGGGAGGAGGGGAACCTGTTTTTTTTTTGGGACTGATGCAAATGAAACCGATGTGTGTTGCCCAAAACGTAGGAGAAGCGGCCTCACTTTATCAATATACAATGCAATTGGCAAAAAAAAAAAAAAAAAGTAGGAGAAGCTTATGTCGGCAGTGGACACGGGACGAGAGAGTAAAAAAGTTGTACATCCTTCGACAGAGAGAGAAAAAAAAAAAAAAAAAAAGATGTACCTGCCCGGCAGGCTGAATGGCAGGGTCGCGGAACCGTCGATAAGCAAAAACTGAGGTCAAGCTCCCCACAAATAGATTGGAGCCTTGGTTTTCTTAAAAAAAAAACCAGAAAAAAAGAGATCAAATCCAATGGCGATTTTGTTTTGGGGGGGGGAAACAAAATCCAATGGGTCTCGCTCCACTACTCTAGACTCTCGAAGATTTTCGAGAGTGAGGGCCTCGCCACACCACTCTTGAAACCCCGTTTTCAAGAGTTGGAGCCTTCGCCACACAGCCACTTGAGAGTTGTGGCCCGAAAACTCTTTCGAGAGTTGTCAGAACCTCGTTTCGAGAGTAGCTCTCGAAACTCCTAAACGCCCAGCCTGCAGCACCGCTCTTTTCAAGCGTCCTCCCGAGGGCACTCGAAGGACTCTATTTTCGAGAGCTGTCGGGCCGTTATCCTGACTCCATTCGGAAAAAACAAAGCTGCACGACTGTCGTTTTCCATCGTTTGTCCAACACCATCACGCTTTTGAGAGTGCTGTGTGGCGAGGGGCCCGGAACTCTTAAAAACCCAACTCTTGAGAACGTCTGACAGCTCTTGAAAAATTTCCCCGTCTCAAGAGTGGTGTGGCGAGGCCCTGAGGGCTGGACTACTCTCGAAATGTGCAAAACGAAAGTGAATCTTCCGCTAGAATATGGAAAGATGGACCGCCATGATTTTTGTCTTTTGTGCATGTCAAGAGTAGTGCAGCGACACCCTGAGTCTAGAGCTGTCAGACTCTAGAAGGTTGAACTCGAGAGGGCCTCTCGGAAGTCAGACAGCTCTTTGAGAGAGCTACACGACACAGCCAGCAGATTATTGTCCACCCAGACTCCAGGTGCACTCCATAAAAATGCTCAACTTTCAAAGGTCCTCGCTGCCTCCCTTGAAATTTCCGCCGCTGCAGGCGGGCGCTCTCAGAACGTCAAGAGTGCCACGGGAGAGGACGTTCTGACAACTCACGAATATTGTTTTCGTGAGTGTGTTTCATGAGGTAGTGGAGCTACGACGGATTCTTGCCATTTTCGTGAGTAGATACTGACAGCTCAAGAACCTGAACTCCAGACCTCGCTTCTAGAGTTAGGGGCTCGTTAGACACTCCTCGGGCGCTAAAAAATCCCGAGGAAATGATCGTTCCATCTGTCCTCGGAGAGAGTTCCTTGGAAACTGATGTGAAAACATTTCCTCGGGGTGTCCTCGGGGCGTGACGAACCACTTCACGACCCCGTGCCATCCTTCGTACCCTTTCTTTTGCTTGTATCATACCAACCCCAGGAAAACCCCGTTTTGATTTCTTGATTTCGGGTGCCGCATTTTCCTTTTTGAGAGCTTTTTCGACTGCTGAGTTCTGTTTTTCTTTTTGCAAAGTCGGGAAATACATGGGAATTTACATGCGCCTTAGTGAGCACCCTGGGAATTGGGCTCGGTAGTTGGGAATTCCGGGATAAGCAGAACTTCGACGTGTCCTTTTTRRGTGTGTGAATGTTCTTGGGCGTRTCGGGGAAAACTCTCRGAATTTTGCRTGAATACGAATAGRCGTAGGATTTTCTTTTCCCGMGTCGYTTTTTCGCGCGCGGATATGGTGATTTYAATTTTGAATTAGGATAGAAGCAASCTGTAACTGTTTCGGTGCCTTTTTCCTTTTTTTTGTTGATGGCGCCRTGCATGCAAAARCTCCCTCCTCTCTGTCCCCCGCATCGCTCCCTCYYGCGCCTCCCTTCCCTTCTCCCTCCTTTTTCTCTCTCCCCGTAACTGTTTTTCCTTCTCCCTCTCTCTCTCTYCCGCCTTGCTTTCGCGCGCCCATTTCCCTTTCTTGATCATCTGAATCTTGGACCCRTYTTGCRCCACCTCTCRCGCCTTTTCTCTTCTCACCCTCTMAGTCTRSCGTACGACGCCYGGTCGATCCYCCGATAACTCCCGCTCGCCAATCAGGTGCGTCGATCGATAGGACCTTCGTATCGCGCGACGAATCTGATTGGTTGAACCTTGAGTTCCGAGGGATCAGCATGGCGTTCGTAGAGCACTCTTGTCAAAGACTTCTCCTCTTGCTTCTCCTCTTACACCTCAGCTTTCCTGTCGCCTTCTCCCCCTCCTATCTCCCCCGTCGCAACTATAAAACCCGCAAGCGCGTCCGCAAAACTCTCTTACGTTCTCGACTCTCAAGCCAGCTTCCGGGAAGCAGTGGGCCAGTGGCTAGGCAGAGTGTTTGAAGCGAGTCGGAAAGTCCTGTCGGGCTAACGATAGACTGGCCGTTTGCGCGCTGGATCGCCACGACGGACTGTGGGATCTGGGTGAACTGTATCGAGTTTACAACACCGGGGTGACGATCGCAGTGGTGGGAGTTAGCACGCGACGACCGAGATCGTCGACGCGGTTATGAGGATCGATGTTGAGTTGATTGGCCCGGGGCCATATTGGAATTAACGGCGAATGCGCCATTGTTGCGGATTGTTATCTTTGGCGTGAGTGTACGGCGGTGACGCCGAACTTTTCTCTTCCTGGATCTTGTCATCTTCTATTTTGGACTTTTTTTCCCTCGACTCTCTCCCTCCCTCTCTCTCTTTCTCTCTCTCTTTTTTTTTTGAATGATGATGCGTCTGAATGATTGTCCCTCTCTTGAGTATGAATGAGTTGGCATCCTGCTTCTGTGTGAAAGACTTCTTCCGGAACTCTTCCATTAGYTYCCWGGGTAATCCTCTTACGCAAGGACCYCGTCTACTTGTCTTGTGAGCGATGGATGCGTGTGTATTGTGCAATGCGATCCATCTTTTTCTGTGCGTGTCTCATTTTTGCACCTTCCACAGTGAATGCATGTATAGAGATGCGYGACTTTTTCGATTTGATTAGACGAGTGTCGTCGGGATTTTGTTCGAGACTGCAAGAGTGTTTAGATCTGTAGCTCTGCTTGCACTGCGCATGCCATCTGCCTTATGATGCACGACATCAGCAGCYGAGCCACGAGGCGGCCCTGAGAAACAAGGCGCCCAGGGACCAACGTTGTGTTGAACTGATCGGACCCGTAGCCATACTGATATGTGATTGCTTTCTCTCTCTTGTGTCAAAAAGATTGATTGGGGGACGTGCGAAACGCTTCTGTTCTTAATGACGTCTCATGATATTTTGTGATTGATTGACATGTGGACTGACAAGTACCCTTCGATTGGGCGCCAGCCTCCCGTATCTCCCATCCCAACACGACTTTTTCCTTACAGTGAGGAAAGGACACGTGTATGTGAGTGGGACGTACGAAAAGCCGTTGCACAAATCGGCGGGCAGTATTACTTCCCTCCGGCCAACCGTTGTTCTGGGTTCGTAGAAGCCAGGTTTGTTATTATCGATACGCACTTCCCACCTTACTCGGTATTGTTGCCATTTAACGAGTTAATTGTCATTCCGTGGACGACAGTAGAACCCTACTGGTCGCGCACTCTGTGCACTGAATGTGAGCGTTTTCAGTGCTACGAGTCCAGGGGTTTCCACTACCATGTGCGGAGTGAAGACGAGCATAAAGAAAGAGCCACGCGACTGAGACCCTCCTTGCCAGACTCGGAACTAACGAGCGAACAACGACGGGATTTGATACGGAAACGAGACACGCGAAGCGTGCCCAAACCTTTCTGTTCTAAACGACGGGTTGTAGCCCAGTGGGAGGCACGACAATACTTTTTGGATTGAATTTGGGTCCTTCTCTCTCTTTCCCGCCTTGCCTGCGTGCGCATTCCGCGATGCACGAAATGATCGACTTGCTCCATCGGACCAACACGGGGGATCTCAGCTCCATCTATGTCCCCACACTCAATTTCCAAAAATCCTTGGCACACCCCATCTTGCTGTTTTTCTGGGCCTCTTTTCCGCACAGCCAACACTCTGAACGGAAGACAACACAGGGCGTGAGGTTGGTATCGGAGCCGACACGTGTTGGTTCTGATGATAGTAAGTCGAACTGGCGAGACGTAGGAGAGACCCTCAACTAGCTCGTCGAGATCGCCCTGTAACCAGGTCTCAGTCTAGTGTGGCTGCACCAGCAATACCAATGGTGGACGGTACTAGTGTGATCGTTAGCATCCCTGCCCCTTTTCCCTTCTTCCCTAACCATACCCATCCCGAGGCTTGGTTGGAAGTTGTCGAAGCTCAAAACTACAGCGCAACCGATCTTCCTCGTGTTCTGATATTACTACTTCGCAACACATCACATGACCGGCTTAGAAAACATACATGGGTAGATTGGGATACTTTCAAGCGAGCATTCTTGGCTCGATTCGATACGGTTAGTGAAGATGCTGCCTGGTATGTACTAAAAAATTGACCACAAGGACCAGGGGAATTATTGCCCGATTTCGTCGATCGATTTCAAACCACGTTGGATAAATCCGGGCGAGACGAGAATTCTGTTCGAGACTTGTTTATTGATCACCTTCGAAGTCCGACCTTGAAAGGGAAACTGCAAAAAAAGGTTCCGTCGAAAACAACCCAGTTATGGACTATCATCACTGAAGTGTTGGAGCTAGACTTGGCTGATACAAAAAAATATATCAGCCAGGGAGACGAGGATATTACAGATACTATACGGGATGTAACGACTAAAAGGCGATCATGGCTACA